CAATTAGATCTCTCTTCCTCCTAATCGGATCCGTTCTCGATGCCTCAAATCTGAATTTCTCGAATTTTGATTCTCGTGTTTGGAGAGAAGAAGTAAGTAAGCGATGGGGCAATGTTACGGTAAGGTTAATAATCAGAGTAAGAAGAATGGTGAAGAAGACAACGAAGCTAATACAACTACTTATGTTGTGTCTGGTGATGGTAATCAGATTCAGCCTTTAACTCCTTGTTACGGAACAAGAGCTAATAAGAACACTCCTGCTAGGTCATCGAATCCTAGTCCTTGGCCTAGTCCTTTCCCTCATGGATCATCGAGTCCTCTTCCTTCTGGTGTTTCTCCTTCTCCGGCGAGGACTTCTACTCCGAGGAGGTTTTTCCGACGGCCTTTTCCTCCGCCGTCTCCGGCTAAACACATTAAGGCTTCTTTGATCAAAAGGCTTGGAGTGAAGCCTAAAGAAGGACCGATCCCTGAGGAGAGTGGAACAGAGACAACAGAGCAGTCGCTTGATAAGAGCTTTGGTTATGGGAAGAATTTTGGTGCTAAGTATGAGTTGGGGAAAGAAGTAGGTCGAGGGCATTTTGGTCATACTTGTTCTGGTCGTGGGAAGAAGGGTGAGATTAAGGATCAACCTATTGCTGTTAAGATCATCTCCAAGTCTAAGGTCTGAAAATTCTCAATCTTGTTTTTTTTGGTTTTTGGGATTGTGCAATTCGAGTCAATGAGTTACATTGTGAAAGTAGATTTTTTTTTCTTAGGTTTGGGAGAATGGTGTTGTGTTTGTGGGACAGTGGATTGTCTTTTTCTTACAGCAGATTACAGTGTTGTCTCTTTAGATAGGAGAAATGTGTTTTGTCTGGCAGTGAGTTTGAGTAGACAAGAATGTGAGTTTTTTTGGTTTGATTTTTGTCTGCATTAGGACAGACCAAGAATCTAAAGTCTGAGTTTCATGTTGTTATGTTTTCTCATAAGCTTTGTGTTCTTGATACGTTTGCTTATCTTGGTAATGCAGCTTGTTGTTACATTGTGGTATTCTTCTTATTGATAAACAAAGCAGAAATGAGTTTTCGCGTGTGATTTGTTGACTGGTTTATCTTTCTTTTTGATTGGCAGATGACAACAGCAATTGCAATTGAAGATGTTCGTAGGGAGGTGAAGTTATTGAAATCTTTATCTGGTCACAAACATCTAATTAGATACTATGATGCATGTGAGGACGCCAATAACGTGTACATAGTCATGGAGTATGTCTTGTTTTCCGATTTATATCTGATATTTGAATGTTATCTCTTCTTCGAGTTGTTAGCTGTTACTTATATGTTTGTATACATCTCGTAACCAATTATTTAAATCGATGTTTCGTTCTGCTTGACCAGGTTGTGTGAAGGTGGAGAACTTTTGGACAGAATTTTAGCAAGGTATTATGTCTGATTATTCTTAGGTTTTTCTCTGTCTATGTCCCCCAATTGGATGCTGAGAGTTTATTCATATCAATGCTCAAAACATCATTGCATTCTCTTGTCTCAGGGGTGGAAAATATCCAGAGGATGACGCGAAGGCTATTATTGTACAAATTCTAAATGTGGTTTCATTTTGTCATCTCCAAGGAGTTGTACACCGGGACTTAAAGCCAGAGGTCTGTTTTCTTCTTAAACTTTCCCTTCTCTATATCCCCGGTAGCAATACGCATCATTACTAAACTCTCATCTTTTACATTTTCAACAGAATTTTCTATTTACATCTAGCCGTGAAGATTCAGACTTGAAGCTTATCGATTTTGGTCTCTCGGACTTTATCAGACCCGGTAAGATTTTTATACTTCAGGCTTTCCTTGATTAGCTATTTGTGGCGGCGTAATAGTGAATTTTTGTTCAACTCTTCTATACAGATGAAAGACTGAATGATATAGTTGGAAGCGCCTACTATGTCGCGCCTGAAGTTCTACACAGATCGTATAGCCTTGAGGCTGATATATGGAGTATTGGAGTTATTACATATATACTCTTATGTGGAAGCCGGCCTTTTTGGGCACGGACAGAATCTGGAATCTTTCGTACTGTGCTAAGAAGTGAACCGATCTACGAGGACACACCTTGGCCTTCTGTTTCATCAGAAGGTAAAGAGTTTGTGAAACGACTTCTCAACAAAGACTATAGGAAACGAATGTCTGCAGTTCAAGCTTTGAGTGAGTTTCTTTTCACATATCCTTAAAATATAACTGCAACTTGGAGTTATATATTATTGTGAACATTACAAAACTGATTATCTGTTTTATATCTTAATTTCAGCTCATCCGTGGTTACGGGATGGTAGTCGTGCGATTCCTTTAGATATTCTGATCTATAAGTTGGTCAAATCCTATTTGCATGCAACACCTCTTAGACGGGCTGCTTTAAAGGTATCGCCTTTCTTCATTTTTTCTTTATCCTCAAAGTGTAAAGATAGTACCTCAATTCGATGTGGAATATTGTATTATGCTCTATATGTTGGGTTTATATGGAGTTATTACAAGGATATCGTCTTTACAACTTAGTGATTTAGAGTAAGGAAGATTATAGCAGTGATATGTTGGGTTTTCTCTTGAATAATTGAATCCAGGCGCTAGCGAAAGCATTGACCGAGAACGAGCTAATCTATCTTAGAGCACAGTTCATGCTCTTGGGACCAAACAAAGATGGAAGCATTTCCCTCGAAAACTTCAAGATGGTAAGTTAGTTATAACCTGAAGGAAGGCCTTTGGTTTTAAAACAAGGTCACATCGGTTTTCTTGATTTGTTTTGGTACTAAACAAAGCTCAATTCTCGTAGGCGCTTATGCAAAACGCAACAGACGCAATGAGAGAATCCAGGGTTCCTGAAATTCTTCACATGGTGAGAACAAAGAATCAAACTTCTGTTAACCCGTTTTCGAAAACTCGGGGTTCCTAATGTAATGACCTGTTTCGCAGATGGAATCTCTAGCGTATAGAAAGATGTATTTCGAGGAGTTTTGCGCTGCAGCGATTAGCATCCATCAACTAGAAGCTGTTGAAGCTTGGGACGAGATTGCAGCCGCGGGATTCCAGCATTTTGAAAGCGAAGGAAACCGAGTGATCACAATCGAAGAACTAGCAAGGGTAAATGATGTAAATCCAATTCATATAGAACCGGTTTTTCGGGGTTCTCCTCTCTTATTGTGATCTAATTTCAATCCGGTTATCGAAACAGGAACTGAATGTGGGTGCATCTGCGTACGGACACTTGAGAGAATGGGTAAGAAGCAGTGACGGGAAGATGAGTTTCTTAGGGTTCACTAAGTTCTTGCACGGAGTTACTCTTCGTGCTGCTCACGCAAGACCTCGCTAGTCATTTATTGCTTAGGTTTTTTTTTCCTTCATTCATCAGAACAACAGAGTAATAGATTGCTGAGAGACGTGAGGGGTATTTTCGTCCGT